AACTGCTGGTTAAAAAGATAAAAGTGAGATAACAGACATCAGTTCTTCACTATAAATCTCTAGGTTTACTACAACATTAAAATTTCCAGTAAAAGCAGGGTTTTATATACCTGAACTCTAATGGCCTATTCTGAAAATATTTATGTCAGGAAAAGCATGGTATTTGCATGCCAAAAGCATTTTTAGTGCCAATGTTTAGCATTCCCTTCCCATTTAACTCCTTCCCATCTACTCATGAGTGCTAGATGCTCTGCCTAGTACCTACCGGTCGGATCTCCTCATGCAGCCTCCTGGAAGAGAACACTCTGGGTGCATACAAAGGCAAAAAGTCAAACCCTTCTAATTAAATAGCCACTGCATGAAATACTTGTCTGATGGCTCAGGATGGAGTCTGTAGCACAGTCTGAAAACCATGATTTTACCTCCACACTTTGTACGTGAAACTACTACTAATCAAAGCGAAAGACATGGAAGAACAGGAAACTGGGCAACACAACACAACAGCTCAGAAGTAACAGGTCAGAACTACATCATTAGATCAGGTTTCTGGAGGTATAAGTAGTACTCCATTAGATTTATTTTAAAATCAAAGCATGATTCTGTGAGAACCAAGTGTCTCACCCTCCACATACAGGCATTTTCATTCGGTGAGAAGGGAGGGCATTTGGCACCCATGGGTGCCATAAAGAGCCATCGGCAGTATTGACTGCAGAAGAGTATTGATTTCACCTATTTATTTCAATAAGAATTAAACTTATTTAGGCAAATAATGCAGGCTAGCAGCCTGAAACTGTAGTGCATGGGACTCTCAGAGGTACAGAGCTTAATATTACTGCAGTTTTTGCAAACTGTAATTTCCTAAATTTAAGAAAGCTTTAGCAATTTAACCTGATTTTCAGCAAAGTATTGCTTTCTTCCCTGCTTCATACTAGCACATGCGAGCCACAGCTTTTCAGGATAAGCTGTAACATAAATCTAACTTCTCAGAACATAGCAAACATACAGAAACGCTACAAGTCTCTACCTACCTTATATCTCAGGGCTCTTAGGTATGGGGGTTTTGTTTGCTTGTTTATCTGTTTTTGTGGAATAAAATTAGATTTCAGCATCTGTCACCACCAAGGAAAACTCATCCCTGGCTCCCACATGAGAACATTGTAACCACTGCAGAGTTACTGAACCATGGTATCTTAATGATCATTATACAAATCAACTTTTTTTTTTTTTTTTTTTAATAACAAAATTAAGAATGTGCTTCCATAAATACTCAAATCAGACTTTCAGGTTACAAATTTAATAAAAACCCAATATGATGAAATTGTAAAAGTAATGCCACAAAATTTTATGTGTGGATTCTTTTAATTTAGAGTTATTCAGGTGTGCTGATTAAGTTTTAGCAAAAAATACTGTTGGCATTGCCACTCTGCCATTAGGAATCAACAACCTGCGGGAAGAGACAAAACATTTGGTAAACTTTTCTGTCTTCCTTTTGTGTACATTTTGCAAAGCTTTCTTTTCAAGATAATCTTAAAAAAGCCCCATGCAGGCCTATTAGAAAGACAACCTACTATAAAAACACAAGATTTTAAACACGGACATTAGGTGCTTTGCCAATTAAAGTTCTAAAACTCCCTGAAGATATGATGAATTCCAGGAATTTGAATTGTAGTATCTTCCTTAGCTCCTCAGTATAATCATAGTAACCTTTGAAGTGTATATTTTGAATTTAACAGATTTTTAATTTATTCTGTAGATAATATATTGATCCTTAAAAACATAGAAGCTTAAAAACCATATAAAAACCATACAGAAACATTCCTGTATGGGAAAAGAACTCAACAATTCAAAGAATGTCCTAGCTGTGTCCCGAAACCCATTCAAACCCACATACCAGATAGGCCCTTTCCTTTGGGAACACCAACAAACTGCCAGCAAAGTGCACCATGAAACTTCAAGCAGGCAAATCATCCCCCACTTGAGTCAGCAAATGAACTCTCTTAACAACGCTGCAACCTCGGTCTGATCCCACAACCTTGGCCACAGCAGGCCCCAGCTGCTCTGTTGAGCATCATGTCCACATGCGGATGGTCCTCCACAACTCAGGAGGATTTAAAAATAAAACTGTTAATCAACACATTATTTTCTAATATGTTTCGTCCAGACTTTTCACTGTAATGAAGTGATTATCCCAGGATTTCCAGTTCCACTCTTGCCAAAGGCACTAACACAGAGCTAGGGAAGATGCTTGTTTTTTACCTTGGCGCTACCCAAATAGAAACTCCTGTAGCGCATCATTTAGTAGCAATTCTGTACAAAGTGCTCTAGTCAGCAGAACATTATCTGCAGTCTCCTGGCTCAGGCAAGTCCAGCCATCTTGCAGATGCTGGCTGCTTAGACATCCAATCTAATGTTGCCCCAAATCAGTTTATTAAGGAAAAAAAAAAATAAATGGCAAGGATTTCCAGGCCTTTGTCCCTTCACAGAGCTGGTTTAGGTCACATATGGTTATACACCACAACTCCAGACTGGACTCAGAAATTAATTTTTTTATATCCAAAATGAGATAAAATCAGCAATGTTCAATTTTAGCAATTTTTAAAACCAAAAATGTTAATCAACACATCATTTTCTAATATGTGTCCTTCACACTTTTCACTATAACTTGGGTTATCTCATGATTTCCAGTTCTGAGTATGGAATCAATATCTCCAAATTGAAAAAAATATCAGAAAGAGATCTCTCTCAAGAGAGGTTCTCATAGAGAATATGTTTGAACGAGCCTCTTTTATGCACAAAGGAGACTTTTTTGCCCCCAAGAAATGTTTACTTGTACCACTGAAGAGCTCCAATGAAGAATATTTTACAATACATGCACCTCCTTTAGTATATGTGGCAGTGCTACAGAGTCAAAGATTTTTACTTGGGTTACTAGCAGCCTGCTAGTTCGAGAAGACACAGCACATCCTAGTCTACCTAGGAGGTTACTCCTGCAAAGCAGCTTTCTAGTACCAATGACATTCTAACTATAGTCCTGAAAGCTTGCTCGACATAAATTAACATTGCTGAAATTGGTGAGAAAAATAATCCCTGGGAACACAGGTATAATCACCAGAGTAAAATAGAAAAGAACTATGTGTTTGGTGTTGTTTTCTGTACTTAGTAGCAAAGTTTGTACAAGAATCTAAATTTTATACCAATGCTCAAATAAACCTGCACTGCATCCTCTGAAAGCTTTCAGGCTTCATTTTGATTGCCTGTCCCTTTGAAAGTCAGCACTGAAAGAGCTGACCCACCTAGAAATTTTAAGGCTTTGCACTTAAATAAATACACTATTGCACAAATCAGATCAGAATAAAATTATGTGGGCTGACTGACTGGCTTCATACCTTACTTTTACAGAAGACTGCAGTAGAAAGGGGAAGGTGCAGAAAACGGACAGTTGCCTAACCCCAAGTTTTGACATGTAAATAAAGACATCTGAGGAGCACACAGGTTGGAAGCTGCTGTAACATTCTATCATAATTAGAAACATTTCAAGAGCTCTGTAATTTCCAATCAAAATTACAGTAATTTCTGATATACAAGCCATGATTCATGACAGAATTTTTACATTCCATGGGAGATTATAGTGGCCTGATGTATGACACACTGAGTACAGCACTAACATAAACAATTCAGTTTAATGTTTAAACAGCACTTGGTGTTTAGAATCCCACAATAAAAGAAACATATTATTGTTGAAATTATCACTTTGACAGTGATTGAAGGGTAGGCAGGCATGTGGCCTATAAAGCTATAATTTTTACAGTCCACAGCTTGAGTTTAATCATTTTGATACAACATTTCCAAAATATCCCTTTAAATTCTCCTTGCACCATATAAGTTAAGAGACAACATCCTTTCTGTACAATGAAGTGCACTCCAAAATGTGAACAGTGCAGAAGTCAAAAGTTAAAGCCCTGTTAAAAAGAAAACCAGCACTAAAATGCTGATGGCCCAAGAAACATCAGTCTAACTGAGCTTCACTAGCTTTCCCTGGAAGATGATGAATTTTTCTATGAAGTTGTTTTACAAAAATAAAGAAGTAGTGATTAAGTGGATTTAACCCTTAATCTAATATGAAAATTCAACATTTGATTTCTTTCAAGCTTTTGTCTAACTATATTCTTTCTCATTTTCCTCTATGTTTTTCCTTTACTTCTTGAGTACATTCTCACTTAAATCAATGCATTTGCATACTCCAGTGATGTTTCTCAGAAGACATGTCATTTATGATAATCACACCCAACAAGTGCTTGCTGATTTCCCTCTTGCCACTAAACTTAACAGAAAATCTTCAGTTAAAGAAAAGAGAATAGGAAACCACAAAACAAAGGCTTAAAACTGAATATGCAACATATATGTATCATGCAAGCAGGTAACCAAGCAGACATTGTGTTCCACAAAATTATACATATTTTCTCAGCTATAACTTGTAGAACTGTAATTTTTTGGGGGGTCTTTTTTTGTTGCTTTTCTTTTTTCTTTTTTTTCCCTTTTTTTGACAGTGCACCTCTCATGCACAGTCTCACAAGTGGGTCTGACTAAATTTTGTTTTTGGAAAAAACCAGCACCCCAGTATTCCTCATTGCAGTACATGTAATTGCAAAACACCAAAGCCTCAAGATGAATTTGGCAGCAATATCCAGATCTTGACCACAGCTTTTGCCACATCCACACCAGCTAAGAAGTGATGAACCTGTTGCCTCCTGAGCCACCAAGATCCATAGGCACAAAGGAAAGGTGTCTGGCTGGTGGGGAAAAGGGAGTGAGACATCTCAGGAAGCTGCTTGTCTACCCTGTCTGGGGAACCAGAAGTTACCTCCAGACTCAGCAAGGAGTTCTGAGTTTTTGTACTGGGCTGGTACACTGACCCAGCTACCCGTTTTAAATCACATAGAAACTGATCTGGGGGAATAATTGCACAGGACATGGAGCTCTTTGAGCCCTGGGAATTTTACCTGGCTTTTGGTTGCCGCAACCTTCGCAAACAGTGCTTGGGACACCTTAGCTCTCTTCATTTCCTGCTGAATCTCATCATAAATGGAAGCATTAATGTTCATGGAATTGTTTTCTGGTTTTCCATTCCTCTCTGTAGCAATAGTAGCAGTTTTGACCTAGAAAATATGAGATGTTTTTCATTATGAAAAAGTTATTTTCCTCTCTTTCCCTCCCTAAGTAGTTCCCCTTTGCATTTTATTCCTTTTATCCAATCATTCTCTGATATTCTTTCTGCATTTTGCAGAATAAACATTCTAAGTTATCTATGGTTCCAGCAACTGGGAAACAGGAAAATTCAGTGCATTGTAACAGGCGAGTGCATCTGAAATACGAGTTCCCATTAACAGACCACTGCAAATTTCAATGTCATAAATTAGGTGGAAACCTGTCAAACAGTCTTGTAGAGACCTGTGAATCCTTACATGATTTCTTTGCCACACACAAATTAAATAAAAATTGCAAGTGCAACATAAAAGACTCTCTAATGAAATAGAAATCTGACAGATATATCTTGATTCATGTCTTATGCCCAGTACACTCAAATGCATGATAATGTTGAAAAGTTGTGGCTTTAGATTGAATTTTTAAAAGTTTATCTTATCAGTTTGGTTCCTAAGCAGTTTTTTAGACACCATTTACAATAATGCATACTTTAACCACTCCTTCTTGAAACCAAGATAGGACTTTCTTAAAGCTACTGATTCTAGTAGTATCTCACTTACATACATCAAATATTTATTCTTCTTGCAGTCCAGATTAAATAAACACCAAACATGTAAACAAGACAGAATTATTACAGTACCACCTTTATGCTGCATCTGCAGCATTAAGGAAAATAACAAAAAAATACATCAGTAGCGACATGATGTGCAGGAGACTATCCTTTCCTTCATCCTCTGGAAATGATGGAAGTGATGTTTCAACACCAAGCATCATCCCACCAAGGTTAGACTGCAGTTTCTGCAATATCAGTTGAGAGGTACAAAAAATCAGCAGGTACTCAGCTTATCCTACAATATTCTCAGTAGTTAAGGACAACATCTGTCTTTAGCAGTTACTCTTGCAAGGCTTGCTCAAGATTAGTGGACCTAATGGGCCACTAATCCTAAAGTGGATTAGAAGAAAGGAAAACTGGATTTCTGCCAAGAACCCACAAGGTGATGATGTACACAAAATCAAACTTTAAGATTTCAATTCAAACATACTGATTCATACTGAGGTTATTGAGACCTGAATTAATTTGGTTGTTCTGAAGTTACACAGCTAGTTTAACACAGTCATTCAGCCTAATTCTAGATCTAATGGACAGAGCCTGGAACTTCCAGAAGGTGATTCAGCCTACTCTCAAGTACGTGTCTAAACCCACACTTTCACTATCAGTTTGATCCAGTGCAAGTCAGCATGTTCCTGTGCTCTGAAGTCCCTTGAGGTTCAAAAGGAAATCATGACAACATGATAATTCATCTTCTAATCTCACTCTCTATGAGCTTTCATATGTCACAGGTCTCACAATATGGGAGTTGAAGGCTTTGGATGAGAGATGTACTTAGGCAAATCAGCAACCCATTTTTCCTAGAAATGCCATGCTCAGTTTGTGTTAGCTATCATCCATAGTGCTTTTAATATAACATAATCTAGCCCAGAAACTGGGAGGGCATGCTGCTTTTGCTGAATGTGATTTGTCCATCAAGCTTTTCAGGAACTGGTCTAACACACGCCCATTAACTACAAGGGGCAAAATTTGAGAAGAACAAGGTGTCCACAAGCACTTCCCCTTGCCCCCATTCTGGCAGGCATTAGCACTTTCTGGTGTCTAAAAACAAGGGTTCTAAGTAAAAATGGAAATGGAAAAAAATCCCAGATTGTGGCATACAGTTAATCATGTGATTTTTTTTTTCATCTGAAAACAATTAGTGCTTTGCAGTCATACCCTTTTCTGCAGTGTGATATTTTACCAGTGACATTGCAGAAGAGAATGGCCAAGCCTGGACCAAAAGCTACTCAGAAACATTTGAGGCACCTGGCAGCAGGGAGTGAGGATCAGCACCACAAAACTCTTTCCTTCCCGCTGCAGAGCAGGAAAAGGTATGCCTCACACCAGACAAATCACTACAGGGAGCAGGTGCATCTCCTGAACATCATACAGTGAAATAATTTAAAAATACAAAATCAGTGGCAATTTTATAACCTTTAAATAAGAAGGGCATGCCAGAAGATAACTGACAATTGGTGGGGATGTTAAACATACAACTGAAGACAGACTTATTTCTGTACATGTAAAAATCAGCCTAAGCTAAATTAGAGAATGAAGAAGCAATGGCTTTGTCAATATGCCTTCCTGAACCTTGGGTTTAAATTTTGGGAAAAAAATTTCAATCCTTCTCCCCAAAAATAATTTTAACTTGTAACTAATCTTTGAAGGACCCAAGGGGAAGATGAGAAGATTAAGGTATTCAGTTAGCATACACAAGTCTTTTGGGAAGGAAACACTTTGCTCTTGTGATCTTGATCAAAATGTGTCTCTTCTGCAAGCACACTGCCTTTTTGATTGCTACTGAGCTTCAAAGGACAGCTTCATGTTGTAGCAGTACTTCACAGATCACTTAACTGAGCTATGAACATGCAGACCATCAAAAACAATCACACACCATGCTGTAGACATAATTTAAACTATGCTACTCGGTCCACACTTCTCAATGTCCAATTTAATACGGATATGCATTTAACCCAAGGGAATTACTGAAAATCCTTATTCTCGTTTGCAAATCACATCTGTCTTTATACAGGTACAATAAATTCAACAGCATCTAATATGTCATCAAAGTTAAAACAAACAAACAAACTCCTATTGCCTTCTGTTGGTATTTAATTAGGGAACACTAATTGAATTCAGAAAACACTAATATCTGAATCAAAAAGCAGTATTAGCCCAAAGATATTCAGGGGAATAAAGTCTTAAAGTTATAAAATGATGGGTTGGGGGATTACCAAGAGTTGTGATTTGCAGTCATACCCTCTCCCTCTCCAATTCACTTCATTGGCCAAGTATAAAAATTCTTCTCCTGTGTCTTAATAATTTCTTTTCAATGATCAGGTGTAGACTCTGGCTGGTCTAGATAGACTATTGGTCTGTTCTGGTCTGATGAATTCCATGCAATAATGCCAATTAACCTCTTGGAGAATATCCATACATATAACTGTTTCATAATTTATACATAAGCAGCATCTAGGCTGTTGTGTTGAATTTAGAATTGAGTTCAAGACAGAGGCTCTTTGAAGATGGGTTGAAAAAACATCCTCCTCCTCAAAAAGCCCAACAGAAAACAAAAAAGCTCTCAATGGTGCAACTTCAGGACTTGGGAGAGGAGGTGGAAAAAGTATTCATTTTGGAGAGAAAAACAAAACAAAACATAATCTCTCATCCACACTTAAGCACAACCTCCCACCCCACCCACACCTACAGCCACATTTTCTGTTTAGGAAAGAAACCACAGATCAGCTAATTTCTTTTTTTTTTTTTTTTTTTGACAGTAACCAAATTTTGCAAATACTAACTGAAGAGGGGAGCATTATTTTACAAATGTAAAACACACTGAGAATCAGGAATTCATTTGGCCATCTTCCTATCACCAATCAATCTAGTCTTCTAAGAATACTTGAAAAAAAATAACATATCCATCTCCTGGCCTACCCAGATATATCTTCTCGTCAAGACTGATTACAGCAGCAAGAAGTTCTGGATTAATTCAATTTTCCTAAAAAAAGAGTAAGTTGTCATAAAAGGACTAACCAGCATGAAGAGGTTTTCACCAACATGGAAGCTCATTCCTTCCCCATCAAAACTGAAACAAAAAAATCTTATATAACACATTCTCATAACTACTGTTTTAGCTTGGGAACAAAAATCTTCTTTAATCCTGGTTTAGCTTTTAATATTACATTGTACATTAAAATTCATAAAGTAGTTCATTCCAGGCAAAACAAACTACTTTTCAGTTCTGCTCTGCAAATAGCAGAGGAGGTAGAATAAATGCTGTTGCTTTCAGAACAGCTTTTATCAGGACAAGGTTTACTACTCCATTATTACAGTGGCGCCTGGAAGTACAGTTATAGTTAAGTGTCAGGGTTTCCATTAACTCTCATCCATGGTGGTTTTTGTGGGGGTGGGAGGAGAGGACTGCATTTATGATTTTGTTCATTTTACTTTCATTAAAATGCAACTTGGCACAAAGATTATCAACTTAAATCTAAAATTTTGCCAACTTAAAAATTTTGCTGGTGGTGATACATGGCACATGCATATGGGACTAGGACTCCACCACAAAGTTCCAAGGAAGCTGTTATCCATAACTCCTTGCAATGGAGATTCACTGGTCCTCAAACACGATCAAAGCAGTGCTCTCCTAGATACCATCCTTTCAAGAGTAACATCCTATCTCTGACACCCAACCCACAATTGCTTTAACTTGAAGGAACTGTAATTCATCTACAGTCAGAGAGGCCAGGATTGTATTTATGAGATGAAGGTTTTGGTCAATGAGTACCTAGAACCATGAATCATGCAAGTTTTTGGGTACTTCTTAAAACATTGCCTTGTTAAAATAATATTCTGCTCTTGACATCACACACTCTATTTTTACACAGGATGATAATGGGCCCCAGGGTTAACACAAATTTTCTTTGGGGAATATGGGTAGCAAGAAAGATTTCTTCCTTGGCTCAGGAGAAATTGAGATTACTTGTCCTGAGAAAGAAGTGTTTGTAATTGCAGGATGGCTAAAAACCTTTAAGCAGAATATTTTGGAAAAGAAAATCTGTAACTTGGCCACCTGTCTCTATCCTCCTCAACAAACTGTACAGAGGAGGAGGGAGTCATCTTCCCTCCACATCCCAAACTGCCCTGACGAGACATAAAGGCCATCCCTAGCACCTCATCATCCTCTAAAGTACCCCCAGATTCTCTCATTTCCATATAACATGCAATAGACTCATTCTCTCAACCTGACCTAGGAATATCTCAAAAGGGCCTTTGTGGGGTGATCTGCAAGATGAAGGTGTTGAAGAGTGGGGGGAAATGATTAAAAGAAATAGAACGTGAAAGGACCTTTTCCTTTCCTTCTAGCTTGCAGAGGTTAAATGATGTCTCCATGCAGTACCTACCTGATGGAGATGCTAACACTTATAAATTCCAGTGCCCCAGGAAACAGCCTGACAGACAGGCTTCTGCCCCAGGGGTGGCAACTCGAACAATGTCCAAGGGAAAAATCCTTGTGTACGCCGTCTCCTTGTGCTCAGTCCACCAGTGTGGAAGATAGTAGCAGACTTTTACAACTTGACCAGCTTAGAGGGCTATACACGCATCCCAAAAGCTCATGCATTAGAGGCTAATGATTTCAATTAAAAAAAAAAAGTAAGATTTTGCATTTTGTTTAAGTCAGAGAGAAAGGAAGAAGTAACAGGGACAAAGAGCTTCTTAAAGGATTTCAAAAAAGAATTGGAAACAATCCAGATACATTAGCTCAAGTAGCAACTAGTAAGAATGCTGTAAAAATGAGATAAATTCAAAACTGTTCCTTCTAACTTAGGCACCAGGGTTTATGCTTGGTGAGTTCCTACTATCCAATCAGACCTCCAAGGTCACACTTTCTGTTTTTGCATACAACAGAATGCAAAATTTACACAGAATAAGCTCAGCTGCTAAATGGTTAAGTTTGCTCTACTGTCTGGCCACCAGTTGGCAACACAAAAATGCAAAATAGATCCTTTTCAGGATGTTTATTTTCACATCCTTCCGAAACTGATAACTTGCAATTGCAAAATAAACCTTCATGTGTGGCATATTAGCTCCCATTTTTCATGGTTTCATAGTTTAATTGTTTCAAACGTTACACTGGTCTAAAGATTTAATATTAAATATGTTGGCTCTTGTGTAAATTCTGTTGTCAGGATAAACGGTCTGTTTTCTCTTTCAATGGTTATCCGAGAAGCTCACAGTCAAGCTGGAAAAATATTATGCTGAATTCCTGCAAAGTGATCTTTAAATAATTGCTTATAATAAATTTGGTAGTAAGGATGATAGTAGTTTTATTTCCTTAGTATCAAATATTCAATAAACTGTGGACATTTTGGGGGGGTAATACAGTAGCAGTTTGCACTGAAAATTTTGCAGTAGCCTGACTGTAATTTATTTCTGCTGTGATTTGTATAGTTATACTTGCCAGTGTTACAACTAGGACAATTTCACTATTATTTCAAGCGTCAAGTATTGTAGTTAGGACTTAGGACTCTGAACACTTAGCAGCAGGTGAAAAGTGCTTCAGATCTTTATAGTGGAGGATTCTTGAAACATGTAAGAAGGTCACAAAGAATCACAGCTCAGAGGTTTCTACATTCTCCATCTATTCACTAGGAAAATATGTGTGTTTTGCTGAATGACAGAGAACAGCACAACAACTGGAAAAATAAGTGCTTTGTTCTGTAGACCTCGAGTATTAGTCTATAATGTTTCCTTTTAAACTTGCTTTCCTTTTGAAAAGGATTAAAACAAAAACGTATGCCATTTCCACTTTGAACTGTCACAATTAGGTTAACTACACTCCTGATTCACTAAAAAAAAAATGAAATGTAATTATGAACAAGAGCACATTAGAGACAGATAGATTTAGCCCCCCTTTCCCATCGAATTTGGACTTACAGTATGTTTTGTCAGTTAAGAAAACCCCTAAGTCTCACTTTCTTTCTGGCTGCAAGGGATTTATACAGTTTTAAGTGTGAATTAAAACCAGTACAAGGACTACCTCTGACTTGACATCCTTCAGGAAGGTCCTGTAATTAACTCTGTTCTTTAGCTGTGAAATTACCCAAGACCACTTGAGACAGAGTGAGACATTACCTTGGCAGAAAGAGATAAGTTAAGAAGGAGGGTTAGCCTTGGCTCTGAATTACCTGGGCTGTGGGAGCAGGTACAGATATTAAAACAAACTCAAATGTTATTTTAAACACAGTTATCTCTATTTAACTATTTCCCACAAAAGCATCACTATGTAAATAGATTCTAGTATTTTATCTTAAAAAAATATCTATAGTGGATTTTATAGACTAAACTCAGCTAATGATAACAAAACTACATCATCTACATCATTAGTACAGTCTGGTTTTTTCTGCTAAAAATTTATTCTCTTGTGAAAAGTACTGCAGCAGGTCAAGGTGATCTTCTGTCCTCCCTCCTGCAATTTTGCTATTTGTTACTTTAGTGTGGTTCTTAGTATCCATTAGCTGAAGGAAACTTAGAAGATAATCTCAAGAGGAATTTATAGCATTCTGAACGGGTATAGAACATACTCACAGTCACAAGCCTATGACTTGATAACAAAAACCTGCTGTTTTTGTAAAAAAAATCACCTGTCACAAAATTCCCACAATCCCAAAGCCTTGCTTTGTTTAGCAAAACTGTACTGTGTATACAGCACGATTCCCACATATCTGCAGATTAGTCTGGATTTTCCTTGCATGAGTACAACCTTGAGCCAGAGCAACGCAGAGTATTTCTGAAAATATACAGGTTTTGGAGTGAACCATGTTTCTTTGTGGAAATCCTGTGCTTTCCTACGGCCCACATGCATTTCTTATGTACCTTAAAACAAGCATCAGATTTTCCTTGATTGACACAAGGACTGCACCATTGAATCTCACAATCCCACTCTATCAAACTTTGTAATTTTTGAAGAATTAAATCAAATAAATTTTAGAGAAATCAATAGGAGTTTCATTTTAACAGATAGTACATGAAGCTTTAATGAACATATCCAAATCATTCAGAGAAATGGATATAGCAAGCTGTTATTTTAAACAGTTGTCAGTAGCTCAAGATGGTAAAAGCATGCCCAGCATTTTGGGATGGAATCTTCTTTCCCCTATCACTTTAGTTTTACCTGTTTGCTTTCTGGAAAAATAATTTTTAAGGCACTAGAAGGCACTCACACTTCTGCTTTCATTCCCTCTCAGTTTAATGGTCCATATCCTTCAAAATCCCTATCTGAAGCTATAACATTAAGAACCTAAGAATTGTAAGAAAAGATGACAGCTAAAAGCTATCATCTTCCATGCCCAGTAAAGCTTGTACCTCAATAAAATGAGCAAAAAAATTCTGGAGGAACCATAATGGATAGAATTTATCTTAAAATTAGAAAATAGGTAGTAATAAAGTGCTACTATCATCCATTATATTTCTTAAATTTAATTTGCAATATGCACTGCAAGTAATGATTCTATGAGTATTTAAAAAGTGCGACAGCAACCGGGTGAGTCCTTTCTTTTTCAGAAAGGTCTCACCTAGTGGGACAGTGAGAGAGCACAACAAGCAAATCCCAAAGGCAGAGAGAGTGGTTTACTTGTGGAGGCCGGCTGGGCGGTGTGCTTATGAGAGGCGCCGGGCCCATCGCAGAGGCTGCGTTCAAGCTCCTTTCCCTTTCGTCCTGGTAAATTCGATCTCGTTCTGCTTCTGGCAGCTGCAAGAAGTTCTGCATAGCCCGAAGGTTTACCAGCAAGGACTGCGAGGCAGTCTTGGGATCCTCTTCTTTTCGGAGGATTTCTGAGAGCAAGCCCTGTGGGGAAGACAAAAAATAGGCTCGAGAGTTAGCCTAGGTGAGTGGCTGTAAAACTGTGCTCTGCAAAGCCACTGCTTATCAGTCCTCATTCTTCTTACCACTGGGGTGGGAATGAGAACAGCAAATGCACAGTTCATTCCACACAGGAGTATATTACTGGCATTTTAGGTAGCAGAGAAGAGAGCCTCAATTGTACCCTTAATTTTATTAAGTACCTGTTTTAAATACAACATAAACTGAATCTACCTAACATGTCTTCCTCTTTTTATTGCCTTAATTTGCCATGATATCTTTCACAGTCCACAGATAATCACGAGACATTAAGGATAAGTGAGATACACCGGGGGGTTCTCAGGCTTCACAGGCAAAATGCATACTCAACCTTAAAAATAGACTTTCCACATTTCCAGCAACTTAAACAGATCTTTGAAAGGATGTGATATTTCACAACTAATCTGAGACTATAAACTTGCAACGTTCCTAAAGTACTGCTTCACTGACTCAGGGCCATATTTTTTATAAGTCAGTATTTCTTTCTAAGAGTTGCATATTGGAGTTTAACAAGTGAGGAAACTCGTTGGATGCCCTCATGTTCCGCCTTCTTCTTGCACCTTCCTCTCTCTTCATCAGGACAACCCTAATACTCAAACAGTCCATTGCCTGGGATATTTATATTTCATGTCAACAGGTTCTTGACATCTCCTCTCCCTGCCAGATTCTCCTTTTAAATACATCAGGCATTCAAAATGCTCTGCTGTCTTGGAGTAACAAGATGGTGATAAGAAAGATAACTTTTGGAAAAGCAGATGTGAACTACTACTTAGAATAAATATTGTTGCTGTGCTGGGAAAGAGAGAGGATTGGCATGGGAGGCTCTTCCTTATAGTGTAACAAGGGAACACACACATGAATTTCAAGGAATAAGATAACCCAATGTTTCTTTTCCTAAAGAACTGTTGTAAGTTATTCAGGATAATGGAGGAGTAAATAGAGAGAGGGAAGCAAACAATAAAAAGCTAAAACTAAGACAGGTAATATTGACTGAATATATATATTCCTAAGAGGGTACAAGAGAATGATATGGCCAAGGGAGTCTTTTTAATGCCCACAGCACCTGTGGCAGTTGTCACCTCTCTCAAAGGTCTTATCTTATCAGGCAAAAGACCCTCAGGGAGGTGCTGCTGCAAAGCCACTGCTCTCAAGCAGTTGTGCTTAGGCAGGACCAGGGCCCACCCAGCACGGGTGTGAGCTCTGTACTTCCCTGTTGGGCAATGAGGACGGAGGTACTAACCTCAGCCAGTGTGATCCTCATGGCCCTGTCTGCGCTTGCACATGTTTTTTTGGTTGTTTTTTTGGGTTGGTGTTTTTTTGTTTTTTTTTTTTTTTTTTTTTTTTTTAATCCCAAACAATCTTTCCAGCATTAAGCATGAAAAAAATTTCAGAGGAGGATAGAAAAAAATAATCTTGGGGGGTTCTTTCTTAGCACTTTTCATGATCCCTCCTGTTTTTTGGTATCCAGGCAGAAATTTGTCAGAAGGTAAATAAACAACTTACTGACAAAAGTAGCATTTGGGTGATGTTTTAAATTTTTTTCTTAATGGTTAGTCTAATAATAAATTTACTTATTAGCCATCATGAAAAATAAATTTGTGTCTATCATTTTTTTCTACTTTTACCTACTCAAACCCATAGTTTCCAATGTTTGTTAGTGGTAGGATTACACAATCCACCTCAAGAGGAGGTACAAAATTATATTTTTCTACTGGAGACAAGGCAAAGCTGTCTTCAGAGCATGGGATACAGAGAACATAATAGAAAAAATAACGTTGGAAGGGACCTTTAAGATAATTGTGTCCATCCATTAATCATGCATTGCCAAGCCCACCACTAAACCATGTCCACACGTGCCATATTTGCATGTCTTTTAGATACCTCCAGGGATGGTTATTCCACCACTTCCCTGTCTGCCTGTTCCAGTGCTGGACAACATTTTTGAAGAAGAAATGCTTCCTGATATCCAATCTAAACATCCCCTGACATAACCTGAGAACAATCTCTCTCACCCTGTTGCTTGTTACTTGGCAGAAGAGACCAAAGCCCACATCATTCATCTCCTTATAGGTAGTTGTAAACATGTGTGATTTCTGACTGTTTCTGTGCGGGAGACACCTCTCCATGAAAAATTGAGCAAGAAAAACTAAACTCAAGTGGACTGATCATTGTCAGGAGAGAAGACTCCTTACAAACAGCCACCCCACTGTCAGCCACCGGAAATGTCCTTAAAAAAATACTTTAGCCCATAATAGAAAATAGTTGCTTGTATAAGCCTTAGCCACATAGTGGGCAGCTAAAAAAATTAGAAAAGGCTGGTTTTCTTGTATAACTTTTCCCTCTTCAGTGAAATAAGTAAACAAAGAAAATGCTGTTGATATTTTTTTTAACATTTGCCTGCATTTCCAGTGCTGTAGGACACCTCTTGGTGATTAGAAAGTATCCATTCTCCTCTCTTCCCCAGTCACTGTCATGACTCTTTGAGCTGGGAGGAGAGCAGAGCAGAGGACAGCAATGCAGGGACAGGAGGGGAGATGAAAGAGCAAGGAGAAGGCAGGAGGAGTTTGCCTCTAGGCTCTAAACCTAAAGGTCAGACTATGTGAGGAAAACCCACAAAAACGAAGATGTAGTACCAGGTGCAGGCAACAGAACATAGTTTGCCTGCTTCACATATTATTTCATTGTTACTACTTCAATTTTTGAGTACGAAACTTTAGCTAAAAGTTGTTAGACAAGATGTACAATGAGAAAAACCCTAGAAAGAAAATATTGGCTCTCACATTCTGGCCTGTGCTGATGTGCACAGAGTAACTGCCCATTTTACCAGGCTTGAACTGGTTTTCCAAGGTACTAGTCTTGGTGAGATCTCCTGATACTGTACCTCAAATTGCATAAAAACTAAGCTTGTTTTCCAAAGAGATTATAAACACTGTTAGGCTCAGAACCCTCATCACTGTTCCTCCTTTGTATTCTCTTTGCAAAAAAAAATATTTTTTTTTTAAATATTCCCAGGTCCCATTGAAAAAAAGAAGAAAGTTTACATGTCATCACAAGTATAATTCATTACTAATGGCACAAAAATGTTCAATAAATATTATCAAGGCTTTCAAAAGCTCATTACAAATTCTTTAAAAATGGAGATAAATTAAAGTGTCTGCCAATATGAACAAAAACACTGCCTGTCTGGCCCCCAGTTTGTCTCCTCCTTGAACATAATCACTGATTCAAACAGATTTTTATCAGTGTGATAGAACTTCAAAGCTTTCAGAAGAAACATGCAATTTGCCCAAACCTTCCCAAAACATGCAGAACATCCCTGAACACTATCTGTCTTGGTTGCAGGACCCTCCTATCCCATGCCCAGGTGGAAGATTATTCCCAAACTCCATTCACAAGCCTGGACCCCAGCCAAGTAAGTTATAAGCAGACACATTTATCTATGCCGCTTAGTAGCAAGAGGAGAGCTGTCATGATAGTGTAATAGCACCTTTTTACCTTTTATTCAATAGTGATATGGATAGTGTACTTTTTCTTAAATTACACTATGAAGAATTATATGAATACAGTGGCAATTTCTGTTATACTTAAGCAGGCAAATTTCTCTCTACCACATAATTTACAGAACTCAAATTCAATAAAACATTACATGATGGTCCATTACTGTTATCAATTTTGAATAATCCATCTTCATTTTTCATTTTACTGGAAAATAAAGTGTGCCAAAGACAAAGTGGAAGGAAAAAAAAAAAAAAAGTAGTGCCTGAGAAGGTGGCTTGTGTAAACTTAGATTTTGTTTTACAATTACACAGAGCCATTTAGTGCATCCAAGCATTCTCCTTCAAAATAGCATTTGCCCAGAATTAGCATGAGTGCAGTCCTAAATACACAGAAGTTTTCACATATGAGAAAAGGCATTATACATGAATGAAAGGCAATACGTCCTGGCAGCTAATATTTTAAACAAGCATGGGGCTCAAGTAGAAGGAAGGGAGAGAGAAAAGTGAGAAACACTGAGAAATATTTAAAAACCTACAGATCAAACACTGTCACTTGTGGGAAAAAAGAAAACTATCAAAATTCAGACATGGAAAAGCAGCAAAAAGCACTCTTCCTTCTTTCATAAAGACAGAGCCAGGAGGTCACCTCTGTATAACAGCACCCAAGTCCCTGCAGCAAACCTTACAGCTGAAAGTGTACACAAACAGAGACAGGCAGCCCCCAGTTCCAGTTCCAACCACAACCATGACTAACATTATTCCTTGCTCGCACAGTGCGGGCTCGTCACCCCGCCATGCACCAGGCTAAGCTACACCTTCCAGTCAAATGGCAGACTGTGGGAACTCAAGCTTTTCACTTCCTGACTCATGCTAACATTTAGAAACACACAACACAAATGGGAGAGGAGTTCATTTATTTGTTTAGGGTTCTGAGGGCAGTTCAGCCCAACAAATGTTGATGTTGTACTCCAGCTTTAAGAACAAAACAGAGTAGAGGAACTCCCAGGTTAGTTTAATATTTGAAGCAGCAGACAGAGCTTCTGCTGCACAGGGGCCGGTGGCAACACACTTTAGGGGGCTACCCCAATGCATCTTCACTGTCACTCTGGCTGCTTGGGGCTACCCAAGGCAACAAACCGACCACAAATACCATTTTCTAGCCTGCAAAGCACAAGAAAATATGGAAATTGCTCTTTCAGGATAGTAGAAATATCTGCACAGGCACAGTGCACTGTCATCAGCTAAAACAAAATATCATATTTATTAATTTGATGAACTGGCAACTGAAACATAAGTGTCTCAATTCACCAAAATTATCCTGGCAGACTGGTGACCTTTGGACACCCTGCTTGAGGTGAAACTCAGATCTGCCAGCACAAGTACTAACTCAACAAAGTTTTCCACGGTGCACTGAAAGGAGGTGCTAACAGGATTCAACCTGTTTCTTTGCATCCAGTGAGTTGGAATCACAACTGCTGAAGGACAAGCAAAACTTCAGATCCTACTGTATGTACTCTGAAGACTTCCTAGATGGACTATAGAGAAATTCCTCCCACCAAAACTTCTTCTGCTACCTGTATCAGCTGTCCTATTGTGCCTGTATAGTTGTGAAAGTTTCATTCAAGTTACAGGTATCTGGATCTTGATTAAAGTTTACAACGCATATTCCCGAGAATTCAGTTTTGAAATTACCATTTGGAACTTAAGGGTGGAGGGGGGAAATTATTCAAGAACACATTAAAGTCACACTCTTTCTAAAGGACGTACTTCTAAGGTGTAGCTAAGGGGTTTTTTTTCTAATTTATAGAAAATTAGTAATAGTAAAAAAAAGGCATGCTAGTTCTCAGAAGTATCTTTGCCAAATCCTTGGATTGTGGAAAGATAGAAATATTTCTAGTTGACATTTTTTTAATGTCATTGACACTAAAAAATCTTGAAAATTAGGATCAAGTGTTGAATTACCACACTACACTGGTAGAAATTTCCAACCCAAAATTCTCTACAAATTCTGTATTCATATTGTAGAGCATAAGTCTGAAAAACAAAAGCATCTTCAGCCAATTTCAAAGTCCATTTTATTGCCTAAACATTAAGCTAAATAACTTCCAATTTGTAGATTGCTTCCTTCCTTAACTTTTACACTGAAAGCAAATCTCTCTCCTCATCTGAGACTGTATCTTGACACCAGGGTTTTCTAGCACAGAACTCCTAACCAATTTCAGCGAGTTCTTACGTCTTTAGAAATTGATGGCATGATATGGTCCCTGGACACAGCTCAAATATGCTTATGACAGTTTCAAAAATGTCAGTGGTAAGCCTGAGTTAGCTTTCTATCTCAGAAAACAGAGCAGGAATTTCAACAAGTATTTTCACTTTTCTAGCAAAAAAAAACAAAAAAAAAACCACATTAGGATATTACATCATTATTAGAAAATAACTCATCAACTGCACCAGTTATTAAAGTACTATCCTAATTTTAGCTCAGTGTGATGCATCCTTGAATAAGCTGTGAGGAATTCAGAAATACAGCAAGCAGAACAAATTTTTAAAGTTTTCATGTAAAAATTGCTGGTACCTGTTTTTACCCTTGGATATTAGCTGTCACTATGGGTAAAATTAACAATTTCCAGGTTTGTAAAGGTGAAATGCACCCACAACAAACTCCTCTGTATTTCAGTGGGGCTCTACTTCATATAAAAAGTATGCTGAGATATTTCTTGGGAAAATTGAGGCTGATACTCTCTCATCTCCTAGTATTTTTCCTTTTTGCTCCTTATGTTTGCCACAAAACATAACAAATACTGCAAAATCTTACCTAGCTAACTGCAAATACTAACTTGATTAGCAAAAACAATTTGCAGGATGTAGGAACACTACGCTGTGTTCTTCCAAGTAGATTTGATTGAAAATTGACAAAATATATAGGTGTATTTCATATCACTTTAAGGGAATTGTTTTCAATGTTCATTTTGGTGTTTCCTCCCAGTTCTGGGTCACTCTCAGCACATTTTACCAAGCTGGTTAACCACAAAGTCTGGAAAAGAACTGAACTTTAAACAAATATTTAATAACATTTGTAGTAAGAAAAATACATAACAATACATATTTTAATATATATTTAGTGTAATAATAATAATAATATTAAAGTAAAGAATCAGTATTTGCACTAGAAATCTTTTTCTGCAGTTGCATTCATCACATCACATTTTCTCCTGATCTGTCATATAAATTCAATGTCCACTTAGAACCAATCATCCTTGTATTTCAGGTAACAAGTACTGCTTATGTACAAAGGAAATGCCAAAAGCTGTATGCAAAACTAGTTGACAAAATCTGACCACTTCAGAGGTGGGAAATTTTAAATAAAACAGTGTACTTTTAGGCAAACATGAGAAAGAAGTAAATATAAAATAAACTTCATTTTCTGACTTACTTGCTTGGCTTTTTTGTCCAGGTAAGATGGCAGCTGCAAACCACTGTAACATGAAGCTACTACTATTGCTTTCATACTTTCGAGTATTAATAATTAAATTTTTAAACACTGAAGAAGACTCACTTATTTTTACATATAACAACTAACACTGCCTGAACCTAACTTAATGTAAATAATCCTTGCATGAGTTCACGTAAGCCATGAAATTTGGTATGAAAGGCCCAGATCTTGAAAACCTCCTCTGCTGTAAAGAGGAAAGACACAAGCACACACAGAGCCCTACAGAGAATTCACACAATGACTCTACTTTATTTTAGCTAAAGGAGGATGTAAAATATTGTAAGGCAATAGTAATTCAGAACAATTATAAATGACATGCTGATTCAAACCTGCACCAGAGCATATGAAACAGAATTTTTATTCTCTGAGCTACGCAGGGAGAAACAAAAATGTTTCAAGAGAAAATCAAATTATGAAATTTTTTGTTATACTATAATCTACAATGGGCAAATTGTTCCCAAAGCACGTGTTTTCATTTAAAAATAGGGAACCCAAAGCAAATTTACCTATGTCTTTTTAAAATATTTCCCATTTTACAAAGTCCTATTAAAAATATTTTATTTCATGTTATAACAGACTTCTAAAATTTTGAGATCTTATTATTTGCATCCAATATACTGACATTTCTTCCATAATTTCTGCTTGATTAAATTCCATGCAACATGGCATTAAGTTAAATTCATAGAGCAGAATAAATTATAACAGGGTTAGCTTCTAAAACAGGTGTAAAAAATAACACATTTTAGTGTTACTTATCAGCTTTGCTAGGGCTGGCTTTTTCTGCATTGAAGAGCTGAAGTATATGTTCTGACGTGGACACCGGCAAGCTCAGCAACTACTGTTTTTGCAACAAACTACAAAAATACATGAAGAAAGTAGATGATCTAGAGATGAAGCATTTAATTTTTAATCTCTTCAGAAGCCTGAAAAGATGCTATTAGGACTTTCACTGGGAAATAATAAAAATAAATGCAAGTATAGACAAAAGACCATCTCCAGTACACCTGTGAAAGAAGCCAGGTTGTTCAGTGTGTGCAGGTGGTCAGAGCGAGTACAACTCTACAACACAAAAGGCAATCTGTTGGGTGACTTTGTGAATGGCTCTGCATAGAGCTGTTCATTTCCTTTACTGGGAAATTCAGCTATTCATAAACCATCACAACTGGAGAGGAACCATGCTTCCTGTAAGAACGGTGGATGTTTCCACAAACCAGTCCCTGAGGATTTCAGTACTGTATCAACATAGACAGTGATCCTGCAAGAAAGCATGGTTCCTTCAGAGGAGCTAAGTTACAAGGTAGAAATGAGAAGACAGACTTAGAAGATTGCAATTACTAATTAGAGAGAGAAAGAAGGGACTCTTAGACTAAAAAAAAAAAAAAGAGAAAAAAGACGACTGACCTGAGTTCGGTTAAAAGCCACGCGTGCAAATACTGCCTGTGAGATTCCTGCTCGTTTCAATTCATCACGGACCCACTGGTAGATTTCGGAAGACACCTCTGTGTTTGTTGAGACCTGCTGCTCCAACGGCTTGTTCATGGATCTACTGACAGGAGGAGGGTGGTTCAAGTACTGTTGGTTTAAGGACTGCTGGGCTAGAAGTCTGTTCACTGCATACTGCTGGTTCAGCAACTGGGCCATTACCAGCTGCTGATTTACCAGCTGAGGGCTAATGGGAGTAGATACAAGTCCAGGGTGCAGGTTTGGAAGCGGGGTCCGAACTGATGGTTGACTACCATGAGAAAGCTGAACAGGAGATGGAGGCTGTTCGGCTGTGTTCCCTGGGACTGGCTGCTGACCGAAGTTGACATGGTTGGCACCTTGCTGGGATAGTTCAGAAAGGCTATCCATCTCAACTACAGCAGAAAAGAAACATTGAAAAGGCCAACATCAGACTGAAAATCACAACCTTGACTGTCCTCACAAGACATGATAATAAAAATAAACAAATGTAAAATGGTGCAATGCAACCCAACCGTGAGCGGGTTGCTGCATCCCACTGTGACAGACACAGGGGACTTCAGACAAAGCAGTAAACAACTAGAGATGGGGCATAGACAAGAGACAAAAATCCACTCTGTGCTGCAGATGATGCAGGCGAAACAGCAAGTGTATCTGTGCAAAGAGTAAGGAGGGCTTTTGTGGGAAAACATGTCCCAGCCAGAGAGACAGAAGCCCCCGGTGACTGGTTTTGCTCCTCCCATGAGGTCCCTGCCATGACATCTGCAGTTCCCAGCCACTGGAAATCTGTAATAAGCAGGGTGAGGTGCAGACCTCCCTATGCTCTGCTAATTTCTAGATGCTGCATCAATTGTATGGGACTGCTAGGAACTAGTATAATTTATGTAAATTACACAGATGGGCTGCTTTATCTTGCAACCATGTATGCATGGTTTTTTTCAGTGACTTGCAACATGGTTGAATTTTTTTCTTATATTAACTCATCTGTCTTTGACACACCCTCCTTTTTAAATAACAGCACAGTTTTTTTAAACTACAAGCATTCTTCCAGTTCCCCTCTTGTTCATGATTAAACAATATAAAATAACTCAAGGTTGATATGAAGGAGTCTCCTTTTTATCAGCATTTGTAACTTTTTTTATTCTAGAGCTTTAGCAGCTCTGGTCTGGAAATAGCCTTAATCAAAAAAGCTTTATTTAAAAACCAAAAGTCCAGTATTTTCGCAAAATTGTTGTAGCAATTGTTTTTCTTATACTAGTAAGGCTTTTTCATTTTCAAGGCAGTGCCTGAGCTTGTCACAGTACTTATGATCTTCACTAACAGTCATCAGTGCAAGGCCACCCTTTCCTCCACAAGTATCAGATCTGGATGAAGAAATTGGCACATGGATTCTCACCTGCATCCCCATCTTCCTCCCCTGTCTTATCATGGACAGAAATTTGATAAATAAAAAGCAAGCCAGTTGTTCTGCAGAGAGTTCTGGTGTCCATAGCCTGGATCAATACCCAAGCAGAGGCTCTGCTACCCCTCACACAGGTGGCTCTGGGGGCAATGCTGCCTCTTCTGCCAGCATCATTTTACACAAGAATACACAAACACACATTTTCTATTCACTGGCTTCACTGACTCCAAGTGAATGGAACATGAACCTGTCTTGGCAGACCGTATAAATAAGATTTGCAGGGGTTGCCCCATACATGAGCACTGCTGCAAAGGACATGGGAGAGGCTGCTGTGGAAAGGTCACTCTGCCCATATGGACACGCTGCTGCCTCACGCATGGACCACCTGAAACCAAGTGAAGTCTTACCACTAAATTTGGTGGTCTCAGAAGAAGGGTTCCATGTTGCACAGGAGGTACAAATCAGATTACGGAAAGAAGCTGCCTTTTTTCACTCAGGGAAAGTAGAGATCAACCCAAGTGGGCCATTCACTCGGAACAGTAATTCAAGCAATTATCACAAAAGTGATGCATTGTCTTCATTACAGCCTTAAGCTATAAAAGGCAAGGAACCCGTTTGGGTAGATGAATGATTTTGCCTCAAATACTGAAAGCTAAGTCAAGCTCAAAATTCAATCCAAATTGAGGTCCTATTTCTCCATTCTGTTGAAATCTATGTAGAAATATTCTGACACAAAGTGTTCAAAATTATGTGAACAGATTTAAGAAAGATAAAAGGTATCACAGAATTGATAGATTTTTTTCTCCAATAATTTACTTGTGCTTACTACAAGAAGCAAACAATTGTCACAACCACTATTTGTTAAAATTAATTGAAATTAGGGTCCCAAGGTTAGAGAAAGATTTGAATTTATAAAATTACAGCATTCTTGCTGGAAGCTAATAATAGCTGTAGAAGCCTGTTTCTTTAAATATACATTAGCCAGCACGAGAAAAAAAAATACATACATTAAAAAATCAATTCGTCACAGTTCCAGGAACAGGTTTTCTAAACAATTATTCTGGGTGGTAGAAGATCTCTAGATTTACAGAATGACAGCTTTACATCTCTGGCAACCCAAGTCAGCTTGGCTGTTTCAATAGCAAATATTTATTTAAATGAATTCTTTCACTATATATGTACTTTCTACATCTACTCATCAAAAGCATCCTAAACTTATCGTGACGGGAACTGGCTTCTTATATGACTGTGACAGACCTCAATGTGACACATAATGGTATGTAACCACCATCAAGGCAATTTTTTTTTTTTTTGCTTACCCATCATAACTTTTGCCTTCTTGAAATGTTTATACCACCTTCCAAATTCCTGACATTTTGCTGCTGAGACATTTGCATAGTAAGTGCTGTTCACAATGGAAGAAATCATACTCTGTGTGAAAAGGGGAGAAGAAAAAAAAAATCTGTAATACAGAGCAGTACAAGTCAAAGCACAAATTATTTCAATTGTTGAACCAATATATTTTTAAAGTTTGAGAACCATGTTGCATTTTAAATCCTATGACCCAAAGCCTTTTAAAAAACTCATTAACTGAGCATGAAAACAAACCAAGGTATATTGTAAATGGGAGCAAAAATAGCAGATATACTAAAGGAAGAACGAAGTTATCGACCAAGAAACATCATGCAATGGGATGGGCTCTAGACAGAAGACGCTAATCTTGAAAGTGAATTTTGTTCATCCTATTTCTGCTTTTAAATTTGATTGACCCTTCACACACCCACACAGGCATGTAATTCTTACACTGCCTTTACAAATGCAAGCAGTGACCCAAGTTACCCATGTCCAATTCCTCTGTGCCACTTATCACACAGCAGACACTAAAAAAATCATATGATAAAACTTGATCTGAATGACCTATGAGCAGGATAAAATATGGGGTTTATAGCAGAATAAAATATGTATCTAATAACCCAAGATAAACCCTTGCTTTTCCTAAACAGGGTATTTTAAGTGATTTGCAAAAACAGGCTTATGAAAAGCTTATTGTCATGTCTAATTCTGTAACTGAATATTAGCTGTAAAATAGACCAAAGGAAGATCAAGATGATTTTTTTCTCTAAGGTTCTCGAGATATCAGATAGCTACAGTGAGAAATTTACCTTCTGCTCAGTTTTGACCAATTTTAAAATAGTGGAATTTACAATGCATAAAACTTTCAGTTCCAGTACATTCTTTCACAAATCAATTAAGACTAAGCCTTGCAAAATGAGATAATGCTCCAACTTGAAAATTATACTTAGTATATGATATATGAACAACAAAATTAGCAAATATAATTTCAACAGACTGAACTTTGCCACCCTTTAAATTTCTATGTGGAAAGTAGTTACTTTTGGCTTAACTGCAAGAATTGTCCAGTGTATCAAAACAGCAATGACAGTCAAGAAGACAAAGCCTTGATTATTACATTTTTTCACTATTCAGCATGTAACGTTTAGATATATTTGTGGTGTCTGAAAAATCATTTAGAGCATCAACCCTTTGTTACACCAACTACAGTAGCCATTGGAAGGAAGAGCCTGGAGTAAAAGTGCAAAAAATGTTTCTTTAAGTTCTTCTCTTAAAAGGCTAGTTCAATTTCTGACTAAAAGTACCTTCCTTACTGATCTTAGTGAAGTTCATTATAACCATTTTCTAAGGCATTGCTCAGTAGCAAGCTGTTCATGGAGGCTCAGAACTGCTAGAGTGAGGCAGCATTATTTATGCCAAATGTAGATATCCATACCTACCAGGCAGGTATTTTTATGTTTCTCCCAATCACCAAAATTCTTGCCATTTCTTGATACTAATCTGGCATTTCTGAAACTAGCTATAAGTCTTTTGTTAGTGGTATAAGGGGAGGGTGAAATTTTAGTAGAGCACCACAAGTCTAGCCTGAATGACCAGAACAAAGATCAGCTGATACCAATTCCAGTTTCCAATATAACAGCAGTATACTTAAGGTGTAATATGTATAAAATAATCTTTTAAGCTCTTTTATAGATTAAACCACCTTAAACATGGGCACATGATGCATAAGGTGTGATTTTAAAAGTCCTGTGGATCTGAATTGGCAAATTATATGACTGCACAGACTACTACAGAAACTGCAGATCTGTATGTGCAAAATAGGGAATTGCACCTGTCAGAGGCCATCATCCCACACCAGCTCATGTGTATTTTGCAGATGTCATTTAGACTTCAAGGTGGGTTTCTCTTATTTTACTTTGCCCCTTTCAGATGTGTTCTCCTGCCTAAGTAACTTAAAGTATGAAAACACGTATATTAATTTTAGTAAATTACCTATTATTGAAGATGTTTGTCTAAGATTACCTAGTGCTCCCTTCCATGTCATTTTACAAAAACAATACACAAATGGCATGGCAGTTTGCAACACATCCCCTGCTTCTTCAGGAATAAATTTAATGCAGTTACTTTACAACCAAATAGGGGACTGGTCTGTTTAAGAAACACTGCTGGGAGTTTTAGCTTCTCTGACACAATGTGAATTTCAAGCTTTGATGGCTAACACTGTGATGTTACTCCTGCTCTTCAAAGTAGATTAAAAAAAAAAAAAAAAGACAGACATTATGAACACATTTAAAAATGAAAATTATCCTGCATTTTCTTTGAGAACACTTCATGCAAACATTCAAGTGATATTACCTACGCTAAGAATCCTCATCAGGAGGAATCAATGATTTATTTACTAATTCACTGAAGGCAAAATTTTACAAGCCAGATAAAATATTATTACCTTGTTAACTCAGAAAATATCTTGACAACACTGAATTTCATTGTTTCTATTCTTTATTTATTGTCATCAAACGTGCAGTCACATCAGAGTAGAGAGATGCACTTGGCTATAGAAATTTCCTGTTGCTATAGAATTCTTGTACATTGTAATGCCAATCTACATATATAAATGTCTGGTATGCTTCTGACCTAAAACTTAATATTAACCCCAGGAGTTAGTGGTCTTCAGAGGTTCGCTATCTAGACTGAAGGCATACTGATGCTTTTCATATTACCCGGGTCATTACAAATGAGGAGTTCCCCACATCTTGAATTATCAATAATCAAAATAAAAATTATTGTATGTGAAGTACATCATCTCCTGGTACTACTGCACATATCCTCCTTATCTGTGAGGCACAGAGGCAGATGCCCTCCCCATAGAAGGTTGACGAATATAAATATATCATACAAATATTCAAATGCATCACATACATCACTCATAATCAGACTTATTTTTCACATGTTGCAAACAAAATTGAGAGAATGCAAAAACTGGTCACAGATACACAATCTTAACTTATCTCCTTCTAGTTTATCCCTGAAAGTAAATTGTGAGCCTCCAAGATCTCAAATTTCCCTCTTTTTTCCTCTCCCTTATCTCCCTTCCCCCAACCACATCACTTGCAGTCATGTTCTGAGAATCGGGAGATCTCATCTGAAATGGTGCCACCTTCACAGAAATCCCACTATTCTGGAATGATACCATCTGCTGCAGCCCAAGTGCTCTTTTTTTAGCCAAATAAGTTAATTATAATTAGGCATCCAACAACTGTGTGAAGGTAGGGGTAGAATTTGTTCTGAGGTTCAGCTGAGGTTCACCCAGCATAGATTGAACCAAATCCCATTTTCTCTGGAAGATTAAATACCCGAGATTAAATACCAGACACCATCTTTTTCTCAAAGAAGTTGGGGAACTCCCTGGGGAAATATCATAAATCTCAAGCAGGAATCGTTTCATATGCCCATCAAACAAAACCCAATAAAATGGTAGCATCAGACACCTTTTGTTTTGTGCCAGAATCTAACACAAGGTGCATCCTGCAAGATATGGGAAGGACCCGAGCCTTTCATGCCGGCTCATTGCTGCAGCCACTGCTGCAGGTGCTTCAAGGGAGGCATTTCTGAGTCATTGCCTCTAATACTGCTCTTCAACCAGGTGAAGTGTTGCTCGATCATCACTAAAAGTATACTGTTGTCCTTTTTGCAAAACAACAAAAACAATGTTAATCAGGTTAATTCAATCATCTAAACCAAAACTGTTCATGCTTTTCTGCCAAATCAACCAACCACAGCAAAATCTGTTATCAGTGATTGCTCAGCTTCCAGTCAAAAAAGCTTTTAACCCCCACAGTCCCAAAACTTCCACTAAATAACCTTAAAATTATTTTTATATGGGCAGAATAAGGTTGTTTTCATGCCTCATGAAGGGGTACTTGGTTTGCAGTATTTACACAGAGCAAATACATGCTAACAGACTTAGGAGAGAGTAACAGACACAGCAGCTTCCTAGAACAACTCGGCTGAATTAGATATCAGGGATTCCTTTGCAATTTAAACATTTTTCTCAAAAGAAGCACTGTAACCAAAACTTATTTAGGCCTTCCAGGTTGTTTAACTAGGAAAAAAAAAATCTGAGCTTTTTCACAACTCATTCATTGGTGTTTAAAGCTTCAAGCCTGCTCAGTGGAAGGGGCAAGGGCTGCAACAACTTATTTACACAATTATCTAAATACGATTAAACAGCTGATGGACAAATATTAAACTGGAAAATGTATAGTCATTTCAGCTTAATGTAATCCCCTTTCTGTAAACACCCAAGATGATTTTTTTTCAACCAGAACAGTCCTGACATCTCATAAGCCTAAGGGTGAATAGCAAGAGATTGTTTTTGATAGTTATAAATATTCAAAAGACATGCAGACCATCTGCTTTCATAATACAGGTAAAGCAAGACTGAAATGGTGACTGCTGTATAAAAATGGTTCTTTTAACAAAGTCTTCCTCTTCTCGAAAACTATAAAGACAGATGTCAAAAACTGTTTACACAGGGTAATCAGGAGCGTGCAAAATGTAATATTCCTTTTACACACAGTGCTTGCTAAAGAGATTTTTTTTTCTTTTTCTTCCCATCTGTGTGTTGCAACACATTTCTACAAGTTAAAAACATTTTTTCAAACAGAGATCTCATGAATACCCAAAAACATGCTATCTGGTTTCTGAATGCTAATTAATTTCAACTAAGGAATCTGATTTTTTTTTTTCTGTAGAAAGGAATGCATGCTTTTGAAATGGAGTATTTCAACAATGACAGACACTGAAAACAGAACACCCCACAAGTTTAATTTTGCACTAGTTTGACACTGGCTATTTTCACAACTGTTTTACATTCAAACTCGCATCTGCTAAATCTGGCTATAAGACAGGCAGCAACTATCCTCTCACCTTTCAAATGAGATTTTATTTATGTTTTACTATTTATCAAGTTTTTCAGTGTAAAGCCTTGTAACAACATAATGGTTTTGTAAAGTGGTAAGTAGAAGATACCTCATCTTACAAGCAGAGTATGAACGGTGCTGCCCATAAACCTTACA